TATATAACATCTTTGGTTGGGTCACTCAGAGATTCGAACTTTTAATGTTGTCGAAACTATTCTTTAAAATTGAACTCGGAAGATCTACCCTTGGACAGGGCTACATCCAAAGTTAGGACAGTGAGCAAAGTGAAAGACAACCCTGTACTCCACCGCCCCGCCACTGATGTCTCGCTGCTGCCTTATGCTACAACCAGTTGCCATCTCCATCGAGAGGCAGGCACCATGGCCATGGAACAATGGGAAAAGCTAGATCAGTAGCAACTCGAGGAGGTCATGACGTCAGATTTGGATGACGTCACAAAACTTGCGATACTGTTTTCTGGAAAAAGCACATAGGGTTTATTTTGATGATGGCGGCATCCGCGAACTGGCCGGATAGCCCCGTTCTGCTGGCAAGAATTATGCTAAAAAGTGAATGGACAATTTTATTGCGAAATTGATGACGATGATAATATTTCATTCCAATCAGTTATAAGAAATTACGAAGTCGCTACCACCACGAAATTCGTTCACTACTGGACGAGCGGTAAATATGGAAAGTCTGCTGAAGGGAGTCAAGCCAAAACCCTATAATTTTTACTCAGCTTGAAGGAATAAAATATACCTACTTTTATTGATACCTCCATGCACTCAATGAATGAATGCGTAGGATACCAGGCCAACAAGACTTTATGAAGTCAAAAACGCCTGAAAAACCATTGAAACTTGAACACGGATATTGTACAAAATGTAAACATGGACATGTGTAATTCTTAAAATTGCCCAGTCTGATATCCTATACATTAAATAAAATACATTTCATTCTCTGAATGCATAGAGGTAATAATAAAAGTAGGTTTACGTAATTCCTTCAAGCTGAGTAAAAAATACAGGCCTTTGGCTCGACTCCCACTGCGAGCAATTCCACTTGAGAATCATTCATGCATAAACATAATCACTCACTCTTCTCATCCACAGGGCTATTTTGATGATTGTTCAATGAAAATATAACCATTAAAATAATAATTTTCCACCCTTTTTGAAAATTGGAAAGACCAAAATGAATAATAAACCCTATGTGCTTTTTCCAAAACCAGAATAGCAACTTTTGTGACGTCATCAAAATCTGAAGTCATGACCTCGTCGAGCTGCTACTCATCTAGCCTTTCCCATGGAACACTAATCTGGTCACATGAAGGACAAGATTTGTCATATATGTATACGAAGCAAACATGCACGTCATCAGCATGGCCGTGCACGCCATAGCACATCTCTTGTCATGGGATAACACATCCATAATGTACGAGAACCGCAGCCGCCACACACAAGCCCGAGAGGCTTCTATAAGTAAAATCACAACTCGTTTTCCACATCACATCCATAGCAGCCACTCCATACTCTGTATGTATGTAGGCCTGTACTCTGTCTTGTTAGCTTCTGTCTGCTGCGAACAGTGCCCATGAGTAACTGTCAACCGGTGAACACTTGTTGCAGTCGCCATTCGGCCCAGCGCTCAAGCCTTCAATAAAAAAATATTACAAAATTTTACATTCACTAATTTCAGATTTCTCATTTTTTCTAATAACCTTTCTCCACCAATCTATCACAGAATCAGCTCTTTTTTCCAAATTAAAAAATATTTCTCCTTGATATTGCTAATGAATTATGGCATATATATTAATAAATACACAAAATGAAAATATAGACTTGCTTTGCAGTCAAAACAAGTGGATCTATAGTTTATTTGTAAAATCAATCAGCTTTTTTTTTTTTTTTACTTATTTATATTTTTATCTATCTGCTTATATAAGTAATAACGTGTAACATTCAATGCTATCATTAGCTAATAACTTGACATCCATGTCAAACTCCTAACAATTAATATTAATAAAATATTTTATAGCATTCAGAATTTGCCTTTCCCTTAAAGGTACCCATACAACTGAATACCTTAGCTATGTGCTCTTAAGGCGTACCAGCCAACACAATAATTTTACCTCTTGTGCATTTACACAGCAAAAACAAATTATTTCTCTGACTTTAGAAACGTTGTAGGTGGGCAAGTCAGTGCAATTCACATGGCGCACTAGTTAATGGGAATTCTTCCAAGAGTAAGGCTGATATCGCCATCATAGCACCGAATTAGAGTGTTTCCCCCATGCTTCTATAACTTCTAACACTCTCTCTCTCTCTCTCTATCATCTCTCTTTCTTCTTTCTAGTTATCTAGCTATATCTATCCTCTCTCTCTATCTATCTATCTCTTATCTTTTTTTCTCTTTCTCTCTCTCGTTTCCTCTGTCTACAATGACTTCCGACTTTCCTACGCGTTTCTGTCTCTTTACATAGGCATTCATTAATTTTAGCCAATCTCGAAGATATGCAAGCTCCTGGCACATGTTCGATTATCCTCCCCCTTAATAAAAAATCTATTTCTTCCAGCTGTACTTCATCATGTGCACGATTTGGTTTGTCATGCCTAGCTAATAGCAATTCCTGAACAAGGGAGGTGCTAGCAA